CACACACACACACACACACACACACACACACACACACACACACACACACACATACACACACGAACCCATAGTAAAGAAGAAGAAATATAATCTGTGCTCAACACAAAGAGCTGGTGAGAGAGCCGAGAAGCACAGAGAGAAGTAAACAAAAACAAAAGGAGAAACTAGTGTATAACTACCAGTTGCTGCTCAGCATTGCCTTGGTCCAAACTGAAGGACACATCCTGCTCGTCCTCAGGCAGCGAGCCATGCAGCAGCAGGGCCTAAAAACAACGAGAGGTCAACATGTGACTCGGTTTGTACTTTGGAGCGAGAACACTGTCTCCTTAAAGCTCAGACAAGTTAAGTTGAGTTGTCTGACGCATATTAAGCACAGAATTCAAATGGCCTGAAAGTATTGTCAGAATTGTGGTTGTTTCCCACCAGATCCCAAACCCTGCATCCAACCAATAGGATTAAAAAGCGGAGCAGCACAGACATGATCCAATGAAGCCAGAACTATGCTTTTTCCCATTAAAGGTGACCTATCATGCAAAATGCACTTGTGTACGTCTTTTATACATGAATATGTGTCCCCGGTGTTCCAGGGAACTCACCAAGTGTCAGAAAACACAACCCTCTCTATTTTCCTCCATACCCAAATCTCTTAAAAAGGGGCTGCAACGGATATGATACAGACTGATCCAGATTTGAACACTTCTATGACGTCACAGAAGTGACGCTAAGGCTATTGGGCCAACTCCACCAATCAGGAGGAGACAGCCACGGACATTGCCGTTCGAAAGCGCTGGAGACGCTGTAGTACATATTTCAGGCCACCAGATGGTGCTGTTCTCACTGAATCCGAGCATGGAAAGGCAGTGTTAAAATTGAGCGAAATGAGGAATGGCTAAAATGCATGATCTGTTTGGTATTTTGAAAAATGAAAAGTATAAATATGCCTTATATAGGTATGGTCCTACACTATATTATTCAAATATAGCATGATAGGTCCACTTTAATTTATTTCATTTATTTATTCATAAAATCCACA